CCGTCAAGTCCGAATTGGAGGCCTTTGAACAACTTCGAAAACTCATTAATTATTCGTGAGGGAAAAAAAGCGAAGGAAATACATATAACAGAAATATATTGATTTATCATATAATTATCTATGAAACACCTATATTTCTCTGTTTCATAAAATGTTATTTTCACTAGTGAAGATATCGTTACTATGGTTACACTAGTGCAAACTTCAGCGCCTTTGCTTTCATTCATCATGGCGTCCAGCGAGAGAGAATTTCCAACATGGGAAATTATGAACGAACAGACTGAAATAGAGCCAAAACGATTTGCAAGCATTACACAAATGGATGTAGATAATTTCATTTCAAATCAAGAAAACGAGAATATGAAGAAAAAGACGATGTATGACTTGAAAAYAGTTAAAGCGTATCTAAACGAAGAGCAACAATGATAGCAGAGATTCGGAAAATATACCGCCCGACGAATTAAACGTCATTAAGCTTCAACATCCAGTTCAAACACCAGCGTCAAGAAACATAATGTTAATTTATACTTTATCGTCGAATTATGGCCATTGATTCATCGGATAGCATCAAGAGACTGAGTAAGCATAACCGAGATTTAGAGCAGTTTACTCTTACAGACTTTTGCGATATTTTAATGAAATAGTTTTACATGAATTTTACATTGAGCTTGAGTTAAAATGCTTTAGTTTTTCATTGGCATTRAGCTACAAAGTTTTAGTTAAGCTTACATTGAAAACTGAATATTATTAAGCTCAAAGTTGCTTATTCAATGTACTCTTTATTTGGGAAATAAAATTGCTTGAAAAGATAATTTGTTTTAATGGATTATATGATAAACAGAATATACGCTCACTCGTGAGAGATCTTTTCAACACTCGAAGATAAATTCCGTATCTCCGCGCGTCCATGTAATATCCTCTATTTATTGCATCTCCACCAAGGTTTTCAGTTTTCATAAGTTTGAATACATGAAGCACTGTTTGTTGTTCTTCAATTCCCGAATGGCTCATCTGAAACAAAGTCTATTGTCTTTGTCTGCTATTCATTGCATTCCTAATGAGACTAATTCATAAGATTTATAACCATGTTATTTTCCAAGAATCGCATTAGAAACTCGGTGGTGTAATGGTATAAGACGGCGCATATAGACTGGACGGTAGGCGATCAAGTCATGAGGAATTAATGTTTTCACTGAATTAATGTTAATTGATTATTTCTAATAATTTAATTATAATTAGCTAGTAGTAGCTGGAGACATGGTAGAAGTAACTGGAAATAATGTAGAAGTAACTAGAAATAATGTAGAAGTGACTTGAAATAAGCTCGAAGTAACTGGAAATAAGGAAGAATACAAGGTAGGAGTACTTCCTCTGGTTTCAAGTTACTCCACGTGGTACAAATTACAATCAGGGATTGGCTGGATACCTCATGAATAATTAATGAGTTTTTGAACAATTTTACCAGTCTATTGTCATCGTCATTTTTTAAATGTAAAAATTAAAATGTTCAACAAGTAAACAAGCATCTAAGCAAATGACCTTTGTTTTATTAGCCTTTATGTATACTTTGTTCCAATGACCTAAGTCTGCATATGAATCTCGGCGATAGTAAACATAGTACCCAACAATTACACCATTAGTGAACTCATTGTCAACAGGCTTCCAATTGATCCAAACAGTTGACCCAAAATTCCACGCTTTGACGGGATTCCTGTTTTGCCCAGTTGGATAGTGATTCGAGTTCGAGTTGGACTTCGAGTTGACCATAGAGTCAGTCAAATACATGATTTTTACGTAAAACAAACCAAATCTTATAAATTCTTACATTCTCCTACAATCATAGAGACTTTTATATACTTTTAAGTTATTTCAAGTTTTGAAATGTATTGCTCTTTCATTGTAGCAAGCAAGCTAGAGCAGACACATTTGATAAATTAACCTTTTCTTTATTTTGCTTTTGAACTGACATGACTTTCGAAGTATTTGCTTGTATGTTCAGTCACATTTTACTGATGGTTTTTGTCAGTTTTAGTCCAATTTAATGTAAATTCGAACCTTAAGGAACAATTATAATAAGTAGGGGTACTCAAAAAGCACTCACCGTTATTGAAAGCCCCCTCCTATATCAACTCTGATTTACTTTTTATTGCAAAGAAAATAACAGATAAAACAGGAGGAGCCAACAGGTTCCTGGGAGAAATATATCTGTTCTTATGTCCCAGCCACCTGCCAGTCACAACCGGTTGCCAGCGAGAAATTTAGAAAAAAAAGAACTCTCCAGGCAAGGGATACTTTCTAAGAATGTTTGCCAGGAAAAATGAAAATTTGTTAAATATAAAAAACAATATCAGCCTTCTTTGACCTTAAAAACATTTAAAAACGTTTTCCAGGAACAAAATTACTTTAAAAAGGAAGGAGGTGACATTTGTTTATGAGATTGTCAGCAATGTAGCTCAACAACCCTTTCCCAGGAAAAAATTTACAAGAACAGTTATTTAGAAGAACAGAACCCGTCGACGTCTCCTCCTGGTAAAAAGCTAAGTAAAACTCTCTTGTGTAACCTCTGATCGCTT